CACAATGCCAGAGGCACGGGTTGATCATGAAACACACTGTTTAATTGGGACAACATAATGTTTTCCTCTTCCAAAATATAATCCTTTACTGCCAATTAGAGTGACATCTGGTGGCCTGCTCCTGAATTTTTGCAATTGAGTCCAAGTCTGTATTTCCACTGAAAACTGTATGATGACCAGTGCTACTGGGCTGACAAGGGAGTGACCTCAAAGAAAGCTGCCCAAAGAAGGTCCAAAAATCTGTGTGACAATGATTTCCCCCTTTTCCAATTTAATTCTGATACAAACTCACGAGGATCTCAACACAGCAGCAAGTGTGTTTATTCTGCACATGTCCAGACTCCAGCTGGCACTTTTGGTTTCAGTGGAGTAATGACAACAACCATTTACCGTTCTGCCAACTGCAACAACAGAAGATCAGGGTCTATAATTCTGGTGGCTAAAATCATGAAAATCTGCTCCCGTGGTAGAATTTTTTTTAAAAACCCCACAGTGCACCAATATATTGTGTTTGACAAAAAAAATTAGGAAAATTTTCGATGCGAGTGTTTGAGATCTGGAATCAACAGTACGAGAGTGTGGTGGAGATAGCTTCAGTTGTGACTGTCAAAAACAGAGACCAAAAGCTCCCAGATTCAATGGCGAATTAAATATCCAATAAGGGGGACAGCACTTCACCTGGGGATAAATCTCCTGTCAATTCAACCACAATGAGCCTCATAACTTACGGAGAATCTTTTGCTTTTGAAAAACCTTCTCTCAAGCTAAGATATCAATTTATCAAAAAGACTACGGGCTTATAAAAGAGAGAAATAATCCCAAATTGTAATTGCATTCTTTTTCAGCTATAGCATATGTGTGTGTCAATGTTGCATTTGAGACATACAAGCGTGATGTTGCATATGAGACATTAGTGTGATGTTGCATTTTTAAAATCTGTGGATGAGTGAGAGTAATAAATAACCTTTTATTTTAAAACTCACAAACATCTTACACCTGAAATTATTTAAACTGCAAATACACACACCTCACTTTGATCATAGCTAGTAAGAAAACAAGTATATTCTGTCAGAGATGCCAATTTTAAAAAAGTGTGATTGTTTTTTAAAACAAAAACAAGTTGTCACATCAGAGTTTTCTCTGAGGGCCTTGGAAAACAGGATCAAAAACTCAATTCTTACAATCAACAGAATAGTTTCCCAGATAAAATATTGGAAGTAACACAATGAAGAACAGCAAGGTTTATTTCTTGATGAAATAAATTTACCAAATGATCTTCATCCATAAAGACCTTCTGAACATTTCTAGGGAAAAAAATGCAAATATTTTCGATTTTTAATCACAAAACTGAGTATTTCGGTCAATTATACTTCCAATGCTCTTTCCTCCTATCACTTGCCCTTGGTAGCAGTGTCACTGTTGTTAGCCTCATAGTCCACACCATGTCACAAAATGTTGATCCATGAGTTTTTTAAGAATTCTATCTACAAAACAGAACTTTTCATTTTGTACAGAGACTAATTATCACAGTGTCTTCCCACTTTGATGATTGTAAATCCTGGACAAGGAAAGCACTTATCTCAGAACATTCTTCTCAAAATATGGGATATTTTCTCCCTGAGGAAGTCACAACTATTATTGAGAGAATATAATTGCATTTACAAACACTAGCTTTCACTTGTGGAGATTTTATCTTTTGTTCAAATAAATTTAAACTTTAAACTTCATCATCCTTTCCCACAGAACTACCCCTTGAAGCATTTCTGGTCAATGGAATAGATTGGATAAGGAACAAAGGACATGGACTTTCAGCTCTATTTATTCAGAAATGTTACTCCATTAGAGACCCCAGACCTGTTTGACCAGATCACTTGGCCGATCTGTATCTTAATTCAATTTCTGTTTTTTGGTTCCATTTATACTTTTGGAAAATCAGTCCATAAATGACTTTTATAGAAGTTATTTGTTTTTATGGGTTAACAAATAATTATGAATAAGCGATGAAATATAAAAGTGATTTGTTTTATTTCTTGTTACAGCTTCTAAAATTAATACCTTGACCCAAGTGAATTCAAATTTAACAATTTTTGGAATAAATTAGACAAAAAAGTGCAGTGAAAAAGGTTTTTTGTGCTTTAAATTTCCCTTTCTTCTTGCTTTGTTTGTTAACCTTTGTTCACTGGGGAGGGCTACGCTGTCAAAGGTCATGAATTTTGCGTGAACCAATGCTGCTCAAATGTTCATTCAATATGAGGGGAAACATATAACAGCCAAAGTCAATGTCAATCTCCATTGCTTCCAAAAGGCCATCACACAACTAATTAAACTCATCACATATGAAGCCAATAGGTCAAGGAAGGCAGCAGTTTTAGGACCTAGAGATAACAGTGTGGAGCTGGAGCACAGCAGCTGGGCAGCATCAGAGGAGCAAGGAAGCTGACGCTTCGGGTCAGGACCCTCTTCTGAAGAAGGGTCCTGACCCGAAACGTCAACTTTTCTGCTCCTCTGCTGATGCCTGGCCTGCTGTGTTCCTCCAGCTCCACACTTCTCTCAGACTCCAGCATCAGCAGTTCTTACTATATCTAAGTTTTAGGACCTGCTTTGTAATCCAGGGTAACAAATACCTTTACTACCAAGCACTCCCTTGCATCAGAAGAATTCAAAGGTGCGAGATCTTTGCTAGAGGAATACAGAACTATCTGCTTTAGAAGTTAACTTACTAACAATTGCAATGGTCAAACTATAATGCAAATACTTATGAAATAACATGAAAAAAAGTTTAGTTTTCTCCATCCAGTCAGTTGCTTTAAAATGAGATTTACTCAAAAGTAAAAGTACAATGAACTGGATGCTGTTAGAAAATGTCTAGTATTAGTTAGACATAATTACAGGACGTAAAACATGCAGTTAGGTGTTAGTTGCTATAATTAACCTGAGGAATGTTGTAAAGTGCAGCACACCTGGTATTGCACACTATTAGATTCAAGTTAATTCGCCAACAGATGTCTGGTGAATAGGGAAGTGTTTAAATCTTTAAGGTCCATTTCTAGCCTTGGGTGAGAGGGGGTAAGATTATTCAGATATTTTTAATAGTGGTTAGTTAATAATTCAAAACTATATCATTAGACTGGCAGTAAGACATGGTCTTGTTTGTTTAATTGCAACAACGTGCATTTATGTAGCACATCTAATGTAGAAAAATGCGGCATGGCATTTCACCATACATGTGGAAGCTGATCCCTTGCCTTTGGATAAGGTTACCTAAAAAGGCAGTACAGGGCCATTGTTAGAGATGCTATTAATATGATCAGATGGGCAATAGAAATCAAGTGAGGGCAAGAATTGCACAATGAAAATGAGCTGGATCGTGATCTAACCAGGTTTAAGGCCGAAGAGAAGAACAATGAAGGTTTTGCAATGTGGCGGAAGGCAAATGATTTCATTCATGACCGATTAAACAGGACCAGAACTAGGATTAGAAATACTTACCCACAGAGTTACAGAAAATAGTATGGCTTTTGAGGAGGAAAATAACATGCAGCTTTTGAAGGGGAAATTGGAAATAGACCTTTGCAGGTACAGGAGTGATTGAGAGCTGAATTTTGAGGGGGGAATGTTGATAACAGTTTTGTAGGTGACGGTAACAGCTTCCAAGGTAAGAACCATTTCCACTGTTTGTTTGCTCGAGTCCCAAAAAGGGCATTAGATAGTCAGAAATTCACAAGGGTTGGGGATAATAAGATGTGGAGATGGGGCAAATGGGCAAGATGAGCTCAGAAAGGATACAGAGAGAAAGTAGAGCAGTTAAACAGATGCTGAACAGAACGACTTACCAGTAACTAATTCTACGAGCTCCACATTAATGGGCAAGCACATAGAAATTTCGATTTACAAAGGTGAGTTTATTCTTTTCAACACAGGATCAAACAAGAGAGGAACTTGCAGCAAAGTAGTCAATACAGACTGAACTACTTGCAATTGAACTACTCCAGATGTATCAGGAAGATTTAAAAATGAAACTAACATATACCTTACTTGATATTACTAGGATGTTGCTGCAAGAGACAATGAAATAACAAACTGCAACGCAAGTTATTTACTGGCTGTTAAGTCCATTTTTCCTTGGTACTGTTAGTTACAATTTGACAAAATAAATTAAGTTTTTCTTTTGTCTGTTATAGAAGCTCAATACAGAAAACTCAATGTACAGAGGAAATTAAATAGACACCAATTCCAAAGTGCTTAAAATCCTCCAACTACTCATACATATTTTGCTATAAATCATTCAGCCAATCATACCTGATTATGACTGGTCTAGACTAGAGTGCACAGAAACAGCTGATCTTGCTAACAAAGTTAAAAAAAATTCCAGCTTCATCTGAAACAGATGCAGGGATTCAATGAACATGACATCGAAATAAAATTTTGGAAATGCATTTAGTAATGCATATTTCCAGCCCTTTTCTGCTGGCTTATGTGTAGTATAACTCAGACAGATAACTGATTAAATTATGCCAGTTTAGCCGACTTCCCTTTTTTCTTGCAAATTTCCTACTTTATCCCACAGTTTGTGCATCATGTTTCCACATGGAGAAGCTCCACAGACACTGGAGAACCTGGGTGAGATGCTATGGTCAAGTTATTCATCTGAAGTGTACACAGTCCTTTTGCCATCCAACATCATCCCACACTTTACCCAGCATCTGTTGCTGTGCAGTGGGATTATCATCTGGAACGGAAACCCATTCTTGCCTTTCTCCACTGGCCCAGGTGCACTAAAATCAATTGCTGGGTCCCTACTGCAATCAGCTAATAATGTAAATCAAAGACCTAACAAGGGCTTTGCTAATCTAAATATCTCAGGAAATCAAGCAGTGTGTTAAATCTAACAAGTCAATTGGAACAAGGCAACCTTTAAAATAAGCAAACGTACCTCTCATTAACCTACTTAGGAACAAAATAATAATTGCTTTTCAAAAAAAACACCACACAAAAATCCATACGTTTGACTTTTTATTTAAAATATATTTCTGGCCTTACACAAGGTATAATCTTAGCACACTGATGACAAAAAGTGCAAAATCTTCTAGTATTTAGCGAACAAGGCGTTTTTTTCTTACACCCTTTTTTGCATGCCAATATAAATCTGACAGGCCAATAAAAATTACTTTTCCATTGTTTAAAATGTGTATAAAATGAAAGGTCCCATTGGCATTTCATGCATATCCGTGGACCAGCTGTTAATTCTAAAGGAAAGCCACTTCAGTGTAATTCAGAAACTGCCCTTGCAAATTCAATCAATCCACATCATCTTTACAACCAATAAAAACCAATACATAATTTGATTTGACTGTAGACACTAGGGTTGACAAAAATGTCAATAATTCACAGTAAAAACCTTGTTACACCTTGACATACTAAAGAGATATGGTAAAATAAACCACCGGCAGAGTGATTCAATTGAAAACTATAGGTACTACCATGATCTAATCTTCAACCAGATTATCAAGTGTGACACAACATACCACTATTCAGGAAATAAAAATAAACTGGCAATTATAAAGCTCCTTTCTTAAGCTTAGGATGTCCCAAAACACTTTATAGTGAATGAAGCAGTTCCGAAGTGCAGTCATTGAACACATTATTAATAACATCACAATAAAGTCTTTATAGACTCACTCGAGAGAATAGGGGTGTAGGGAAATTGATAAATACATCTTAAAAATCCATAAGGATACAGCATAACAAACTTACTGCTTGCTCTGCCAGCTCTCAAATTATCTTAAAAATCAAATGATTAGTGTAGGTGATTCATAATGTCTGCAGTATCACTGACTGCTGCTTTGAACAGTTGCTCAATCACTCCTCCCTGCGCATTGCTCGTGATTGTAACACTCTTAAATGTTGGTACTCTTTTAAATTAACTCAGGAGATGTTGGCATCACTTGCAGTGTCAGCATTTGTTCCCCATCTCTAACTGCCTCTGACAGAAATTAACAGTCACTCACATTGCTACAGATCTGGAGGCACATGTAGGCCAGATTAGAGTAGCAGATTTCCTTCCTGAGAGGAAGGGCAATGAACAAGATGAGTTTTGTTTTACAGCAGAGATGGTTTCATGGTCAACATCGTTAGAGACTGGCTTTCAATTCCAGATTTTTAAATTAATTTAATTGATTAATTGAATTTAAATTCCACAGTTGCTGTGGTGAGATTTGAATCCATGTCCCCATGCCTGGGCCTCTGGATTGCTAGTGACATTAATACCCAGCTACCAATCACACTTAGTTCAATACTTACCTGCATCATAAACAGCTGACAAACTTAGCTAGTTAAGGAGCCTTTATGTGCTGTATTAGCAATCCAGAAGTTGAGTTCAAATCCTACCTGAGCAGTGAATTGAAGAATGCAGGAATAAGCAAGAAAGGTAGCATCTGATGCAAGTATTGTGGTGTTTTCAATTCAGATTTCCAGCATCATGTGCATGTTAAAGTAATAAATCTAGTGGCTTAAAACTATGAAATTTGCTGGACTGTGCTAAGCATCTAACTAATGCCCTTTGGCCCTGCCGAGCCAGAATTATTAAAATACAGCTCATTCAACCGGTCTCTGAAGTGGACTAACAACTAACTCGATTGCAAGAAGACCAATAGAAGACCCACTATCACCCTTTGAGGAGTAATAAACATGGTTTTGCTGGTGTCATTCACATTCCAAATCAAAAACAGCAAACCAAACAGAGTGCTGGTCATGGGCAGAAAGTAGATGAATGTAACTTTAAGAGTGCCAAGATCACAAGCTGCGTAAAGCATAATACTAGCACTATTTAATTGGTTCAACAAAATCCTGCAAGTTCATAAAAGTGGGTTTGACAACTTCTATTTGATAATTGCATCCACAAGGTTACAAGTGGATTTCACTGATTAGTGTGTGAAACTGTTAGTTGGTATAAAATCGGGTGCAGGGATTCTGCTGTGATGCTAAATTGATGAACTGAAAAATATCCCCAGGAGCCTTGACTTTAAGGTGCAAAATGAAAGGAGCTGAGAAGATAACCTTTTGTCCAACGAGCCAGTCGGGAAATTCCTTGTAGCATAACTAAGGGAAACTCACTATTTTATCCTTTTGCATATGTTGCAGTGCTCAAGTCTCAGACGTTGATAGAGATTGTTGGCCCTTACAAGAGATTTAAATATAGCATCTGGGACCAAAAGAGTGAATTTAGACCATTAAACATCAGTTAAATGCAGTGGGCATTTTCAATACATTCCAAACGTTACTTTTTCCAATTTTATACCATATTTTTAGGTAGCATTTTTGAGAACAAGAATAATAGTTGTAACATATGTAAAGACAATCTGAATATTTTAAATACTTTAGAGTGCAAAGTAACCAGCGTTAGTTAGGGTACAAGGTTGCAGTGAAATTCATTACAACACATAAGAATGGTCCAAAAGAATTTCCTCACAAATCTAGGTGATGCAGTGTAAGCATTGTAAAAAATGTTACAATCTGAACAAACTTCAATGTTAAGCTACCTTGTTCCAATAGTAGCCCTAGTGTTTACAGCAATGACACATTAAACCAAATGCCAATCTTTTGGAAATGTTGACCCTTACATCAAAATTTTATTTCTGCAAATTCATACTCAAAATATCCTAAAGCACATACTAGTATGGCTGCGGAAAAAAACACCTCAATAACACAATCACTCACACTCTTGCTCTCACTAACAAAATGTCTGGTGCATTTACACAGGAATTAATGCTACAGCATACCCAAGGCATTAGAATGGCTATCATGTAATTTGGTCCCCTCTCTTCCACACCCAGAGTAAGCTGTTCCACTTGGCTCAGTTGCGCGGTCATGATGCGCCAAAGACTTGGCAGTAATGGGGACGAAGAAAAGGAGGTTTGAGACCAGTGCATCGAGTCTACAGTGAGCCTACTGTGGGGCTACAGTAGTTCTTTTTGTTAAATCCCCAATTAAATGATTTCCATCATATCACTCTTGCCTTTTTATAAGTTACAGGCTACTGGGTTGTTGTGTAGGGATACCAGGCGTCGCTTGTCGTGCGAGAGTGTACATTGCACCCAGAAACTGATCAGCAATTCGACCGGCTTCCCTTAATCCGCTCAATAAAGCACCATGAACTGTCGCGGGGTAGTTGCGAATAGTGTGCTCTCCAGCAAAGAAGAGACGAGGGACTGGCTACAACAAAAGAAACAAAACAGAATCAGTTTCACAAATAATTAAACTGATGCCACTTGTGTTTACCACTTTAACCTTAAATAGCTTCCAACAAGCCATTGTTTTAAAATTAAATAAATCTTAGTTACATTGCATCCTCTTCAAATCTCATTTTTTATATGCTATACCTCTTGGTATGACACTCATCTTTTAGCTTAATAGATTTTCAGATGGAACATTATCAAATACTTTCTGGAAATCTCAATATGCTGCAAGGTTTGTGACAACCAACTTCAGCATTGCTTTCTTGGGAGTCAAGGAGCTTGGCCAGACAGGAATCCATATTCACTGATTATGTGGACAATAACGACATGATAACAATCAATTGACAATCTATTAGTTTTCTTTCCACAGATGGGATACAGGACTGATTGTTGTATTATTTGTGACTCATTTTGAGCATGGCTGCATGTTTGATTATTTGCCGACCTAGTGGAATTTCCATTGTCCAATGGTTCTCTATTAATGTTGTCAATGGTTCTTTCATAGCCCCTGTTGTCTTCCCTCCTCGGTTCTGGGCAGTGGTGCTGAATCTGTGGAAACTGTTTGTTGCCTCAACTAATTCAGCTTGGATTGTTAATCTGCTCTTCCCAACCAAAGAAATGAAGATTTTCATTTATACAGTGTTTTTTACAACCATCAGATGTCTTAAAGCACTTTACAGCTACTGAAGTAATTTTGAAGTGTAATCCTTGCTTGTAGTGCAGAAATCATAGCAGCCAATATGCACAAAGCATGATCCCATAAACACCAAGAGATAGTGACCAGATAATCTGTTTTTCTGATGTTGCTGAGGCCACTGGAGAAGCAACTACAGCTAATGGCTATATTGAGAAGTGTCGCTACCACATTATCATCTGAGATACTGAGCTTCAGTTAACTTTAAGTGCAGCAAATTTACAAGTTAGATTGAGAGCCCTGTTGATTGCATGTGCTCAGCAACAAATTCTGTTCAGACAAAAGTCCTCAAAGAGAAATGCGAGCACGCCCAAGGATAAGACCTAGTACGAAATTTAATCTTGTGCAATCCAATTTATGGCTGAGAAATTGCAACAGGCAAAAGGAGAAAATGTTTTGCCACGATAAACAGGAAAATGGAGTAAAAGTACAGGTAGTTCTGCTATAATGCATGTTTCGTTAATGCAGATTGGCTGTAATGCGATTGATGAATAGTGAATACTGTTGGATAACGCAAACTTTCTGCTGTACATGTATAGTGATTTCTCTATAATGCAATTTTCTACGGCATGAGGTCACACAAGAATGCAACTATCGCGTTATAGGAGAACTACCCGTAGAAGAGTTTTAAAAGAGGTAGGGAATAAAAGCAAGTCAAAGTTCGGGGAGGAGACAGAGGAAGAAAAATAATTTGTATTTATACAAGTAATGAAAGGGAGGCAGGGAAGAAAGCATGTAGGAAGGCATAAGAGCACGTGAGCAAGTACATACACACACATATAGGCAGAAAGATGACAACTTTGATGCAAGTTCTACAAACATCCATGTTGTTTTTGGAAAATCAAGATATTAAATACATTTCTTTTGATTTATCATGAGGTGTGAAACTGCCACAATTTGCCTGGAACTTACATGGACAGTGTCAGAAACTCTAACATTTTTCTGAACATCTAACTATCTAGATACTGAAAAATTACTATAAAAGTCTGCCGAATTAAACATGTATTTTGGCAGTGCTCAATCTAGCTAGACAATCTAGCTAACAGGACCAAGAGCTCTCCAATAAAAATAATTCAAAGACTGGGTTTTGACAAAAAAATTCTATTTGAGACACAATAAGGTTTACAGTTTTACATTTAGGATGTTTGCACACAAACTTCATTCATTTCAAACTTCCATCAAGCATTACTTTTGTAAAGAAAATTAAGAAGAAAAAATGCTCATGATAAACGGCAGATTCCTCACAATAGATGGAATTAAGCAGGATACAGGAAATGCGGAGAACTGAAAAATGAAATAAATATTTTTGGAGGGGAGGGGAAGAGATTGAGAGGACATGAATGGGTATCATAAAAGGGACAACTAAAGAAGTAGAATCGTACAGTGCAGAACAGGTCCTTCAGCCCATCACGTCTGCACTCATGTGAGAAACACCTGACCTGCAACCAGCACTTGCCCCATAGCCTTGAATGTTACGATGCGCCAAGTGCTCATCTAGGTACTTTTTAAAAGATGTGAGGCAACTCACCTCTACCACCCTCCCAGGCAACACAATCCAGACTGTCACAGTCCTCTGGGTGAAAAAAGATTTTCCTCACATTCCCAAAACCTCCTGCCCCTCACCTTGAACCTGAGTCTGGTAGGTCATAGAGTCACACAGCATGGAAACAGACCCCTCGGTACAACTCGTCCATGCCGACCAAGTTGCCCAAACTAAACTAGTCCCATTTGTCTATATTTGGCCCGTATCCCTCTAAACCTTCCTATTCATGTATCGGTCCAAATGTCTTTTAAATATTATAACTGTAACTGCATCTACCACTTCCACTAGCAGTTCATTCCACTTACAGCACTCTGTGTGAAAAAGTTGCCCCTCAGGTCCGTTATAAAATCTTTCTCCTCTCACCTTAAAAATATGCCCTCTAGTTTTGAACTCCCCTATCCTCCGTAAAGATCTTGGCTATTCACTTTATCTGTGCATCCCATGATTTTGTAAACCTCAATAAAAAGGTCACCTCTCAACTCCCTGCGCTTCAGTGACTTAATTGCAGTAAAAAAATTTATGAATCGATCATTGTTAGCCCTCCAAAGGAAAAGGGAAGACAATTCAACCCCTTCAAATATTCTTTAATGACATTCTATCGACAGATATATTGCGACGGTAATGCCGCTGACTGATATTTTGCAGATAAACAAGTCTACAATACGATGATCAAAAATTGAACATCTTCAGTAAGCAACAAGCGCATGTTTTCTCAAGCTAATTACTTCATTGTAAAACTGCCAAAGTCTAAAATATCAGATTTTTACCTGAGGAGCCCCAGGGATGCTGGGGCCTGGGGTCACTGGTTGTGCCATTAGATCATAGTCATTACCAGAAGAGCCAGCAGCCACATAGGAATAGGAACCACGTGCCCATGGGTCAGCCCGCCAGCGAGTTACAACAGTCTCCTTTGGCTGCAAGGATGAAAACAGAGTGGGATAAAGCATACAACCAATACAGTGACAGACTTCATTTTCCTCAGAACTAAGGGCTATTCAGTAGATTTGTCTTCTGGTTATTCCTCAAGTGCAGTAACTGGATCACACTTCAAGCACTGAGTCTTCAAAAGCTTTGAGTGATCACACATGGAATGTAAAGGGAGACGAATGAGAAGTGAAATGTGTGGTTAAAGTATCAGTTGCAAGCATAATAAATATAAACAGGGAAAGAAAAATTTTGCTCCTTTGTGAGTTCATCATTTGAATGCAATATTTTTCTATTTCAGACAGGTCAGTGTCATCAGAATAACAGATTCAGATATTTAAGTATCAACCTTGTATTCTGCTAATTGCATATGCAACTCCCGCTCCACTAAACTCCACCAGAGTCCAGGAGTGCAATAGGTAGAGAAACTTTAAATTTAGCTTGTTATATTATTAAACAAAGTGTAGCACAGAAAAGATTTACCACTATAGATCTGTTATTGAAGTGGGTAAATTTATGTCCTCACGAACATCATCACATTGATCCGGTTACATGAATCAGAAGACAGCACAGTAGAATCATATGCTCTGGACAAATTCTATTTGTTTTATTGGGTACTGTAGAAGGTGATTTGTTTTTAATATTTGTTCACAGTTGTGAGTATCACTGGTTAGGCCAGTATTTAGTGCCCATCCCTAATTGCCCAGAGATCAATTAACAGTGAACCACATTGCTGTGCATCTAGAGTCACATGTAGGCCAGACCAGGTAAGGATGGCAGATTTCCTACCCCACAGGACATCAGTGAACCGGTTGGATTTTTATGACAATCAGTAGAGGTTACATGGTCACCATCAGACCAGCTCTCTATTCCAGAATTTATTTAATGCAAATTTCACCCTCCGATATGGTGGGACTTGAACCCATGAACCCAGTCTTCGGCCTGGGGTTCTGGATTACTAATCCAGTGGCGTTAATGCTACACCTCCTTCTACCCTTAAATTTTGCAAAGTCATTCAAATAACTGAGGGAAATAAATAGCCATAAAGTCTCATCCAACAGTTTAATTAAAAACTTTAAGCATAAATTATCAATAAATGATCCAATTATGTCAATGTTTTGATTTAGTTTAAAATGTTATTTAAACATTTTTATACCTATGTCACAACTCGCTGGTGTAGTACACTAGAAATCATGATCCACTATTCCTGGAATCACCACAAATGTGGAAGGATTTAATCAAACAATCCAAAGTCCCCAATTTACTTGGCTGATGAACTCAGGTTAAAAGAAAACACTCACCAGGTTTCTATACTTAACCAAGAAAATAACTTCATTATGAAAAAAATGTCTTTAACCAATGGCAATTAGGAACTAGAACTGCACACTTACAGTAGATAGGTCAGTGCAGGCATGATGGACCGAAGGGCCTCTCTGTGCTGCGTGACTCTATAACTTAAAACTATACTACTTTTAAACTCTTCCCTTCACATATAGACAAAGACAGACAAGGCATGGATACTAATGGTAGAAAAGGAAAGAAAAATCAAGAAAAGACAGTTTAAAAGCACAAGACTGGACCACAGGGGAGTGGATGAGTAGTTTTATTTCAGTTTCTTTAAATTCCTTTTCATTCTTGGCTGTTAACAGAAGGTTTTTGGACTCCGATGCTCTCCTTCATTCCTTTGCGGTTAAGCATACTTTCACTATCTTTAAAGGTGTTTTATTCATCCTTCCATTCTGGGGATTTGCAGAGTAAGGCAAGTAGAAGATATTACTGGAGACTTCCAGGCACCTCCACACAGGAGAGATTATTTGATGCTTTCTCGTTCCAGATTAGATGATTCTCTGCTGCACCAACCCCACTAGCCATGGCCACTTGATTAGGGCCCAGCCAATCAGCTGTGCCTTATTCAAAACCCAGCAGCTCCATGCTGTCTGATTTTACTCTCTGTCCCAGGAAAATGCAGCTTTGGGAGTTTTGTACAATGTGCTCCAGTAAATCTGATATTTAAAAGAGGGCTGACCTCTTTGCATAGTCTCCTTGCTTTGAAGTACCACCTTCCTGTTTTGTCCACAGACCAAAAATAAAAGTAATAAAAACATGTGGCCTTTACAAATAATAGTTTGAGAATGACATGGTTCACATAGTACCTGAAGGCTTGGTGAAGTGCTGTGCATACACATCAAAATGCACAGAAGTTCACATGTATTGCTTCAACACACAGCTACATGCTAGGGCGAGAAGCAAATTGCTTTACTCATATTATTCTAGGGAATGAAAATACTGTGAAGAAAGAGCCAGGTTTGTGCTTGCATTGGAGGTAGAACAATTCCTGGGATCTATAAGGATAACTCTTTGACACAGGAATTGAGGGAAAGGAGATGCTGTAGCATGGAATCATTGGAGAAGATAGCAGTCAACTGTGGATGCTGGAAGGTCCATGAGTGTGACAATATTGATATCAACACATATTCTCAATGAAACAAAGCTCAACAAAATGGTTGCCCTGTCAGCCATGCTTCAGTTTGCAACACTCAGACCTCAAAGTCAAAAGGCTACAGATTCAAGCTGCATCCCGTAGACCTGAACAGAAAATCCATGCTGATGCTTGATAGTGCTATACTGACAGAATATAAAATGAACAGTGCCAGAAAAAAAGGGAAAAGGTAGTCAATGAAAAACTTGCACATACAATATTTTTTAATACAATTAGAGATAACTCAGTTGATGACCACACATTTCTGAAGGGTCCCGACCTGAAACATCACTTTTCCTGCTCCTCTGATGCTGCCTGGCCTGCTGTGTTCCTGGAGTTCGGAGGAAGGGTCACTAGACCCGAAACATTAACTCTGTTATTTTTTTCTTCACAGATGCTGCCAGACCTGCTGAGCTTTTCCAGCAACTTCTGTTTGAGATGTATATCTTTTACACCACCTAAACTTCGAAGTTGTGAAGACCAAATCACTGTTCTCCATACTACATAGTGCATTTCTATGAAACGCAAATCAGACTTTATGGAACTTCCTGAACTCTGAAGAAAAAAGGGCACTCTTTGAAAAAAGTAGCCTACTTACATGCAATAATATTTGAGAAAATTTAACCTGATACGCCAATATCTGACATCATACCCCTCAGAAAACATTAAGATTTAAATCTTAACAGCCAGAAGTAAAGTATGATATATTTTCAGAAAGTGAGCATGCATGCTAATGCACAATAAAGATGACAGTAACTGTAACACCTCACATCAAACAGATAATGAATAACTTAGTTCAAAAGTGTTGACATTCAGTGATAATGATGTACCAAATTGTTCTCACAGGGATTTCCAAGGGCAATAAATTTTGAACTTACATGGCTCAGCAGCAGCAATTAAGCCAATCACTAGTCTATGGATTGATTTTAAACAGTGATTATCAAATCATGACATGGTCGATATACCCAAATTTCCTGTCACTGTTCTAACAATAAGTTCAGGCTTTGACAATCAATTTGTCTTTCCGTGCAAAAAACTATAGCAATAGAAACAACTGCTGCTGCTCTATGGAGAACAATCTTACATCAGTTCAGAGGACTGATCTTTCAAACGTATGTTACACTCCCTCCATCTCATTAAAAGCGTTGAGTTATTCTTAAAAGGTAAAGTAGTGTGATATGTTCCTTGAAACTGTGTGGAAACCCAAAAGGTGTCCTGTACAGGATAAGCTCAAGTTGCTACGCAAGTGCAAAAATATGTAAATAGGCTGCACACTTTAATAAATCACCTGCACGCCCTAAGGTAAGACCAGATGAATGCTGCACATGTATAGTGTATATAATACTTTCACTGAACGTGATTGTGCATTTTGCAACTGGAATCAGACAGGACACCTAACTAATACTTGGAGACCGCTTTGTAGAACACCTACACTCGGTTCGCAACAAACCACTGCGCCTCCCAGTCGCAAACCACTTCAACTCCCCCTCCCACTCCTTGGACGACATGTCCATCCTGGGCCTCCTCCAGTGCCACAATGATGCCTCCCGAAGGTTGCAGGAACAGCACCTCATATTTCGCTTTGGAACCCTGCAGCCCAATGGTATAAATGTGGACTTCACAAACTTCAAAATCTCCCCTCCCCCGACCGCATCCCAAAACCAGCCCAGCTCGTCCCCGCCTCCCTAACCTATCTGCCCTTTGTCCCACCTCAAGCCCCACCCCCCCCTCCTACCTACCAGTCTCATCCCGCCTCCTTGACCTGTCCATCCTCCCTGGACTGACCTATCCCCACTCTAACTCCCCACCTACACTCACCTTTACTGGCTCCATCCCCACCTCTTTGACCTGTCTGTCTCCTCTCCACTTATCTGCTCCTTTATCCATCTTCCATCCGCCTCCCCCTCTCTCTTTCTATTTATTTCAGAATCCCCTTCCCCTCCCCCATTTCTAAAGAAGGGTCCAGACCCGAAACATCAGCTTTCCTGCTCCTCTGATGCTGCTTGGCCTGCTGTGTTCATCCAGCTCTATACCTTGTTACCTAAATAATACTGTTGAGTTGCAAGGGAAAAAAGCAGTTAGATCAAACTTGAAAGCAGTGTCTGCAGTTTCACCCAATAGGGTGAGCAGGCAAAACCAGGACTCAATCAAGACAAGAACACTATTTTAAATATTTGCAGAGTATATGTAGACAATACTGAAGATTGACAACAAATTTCTCTTCCTTTGGCTACTCTTTGGTACCATAGATACATGTCAATTAGCCCTTAATCTAGGGAATTTCATCATTTGAATATGGTGCACACACAAGGAATCCAATGTGCTTCTACGATGTAAAAGAAAAGCAATGCTATTCAGAGCAAAATCTGTACTTTAAAAGAAAAAGGATGCTCTCAAGTTACTTGACACTTCTTGCCGACTTTAAGAAAAATGGCTAGCAGAATTTAGGAAGACCCAAAGTGAAGTACGTTCCAGTGGAGCAGGAAACGGTGCAAGTCTACAGAGAGATACTCGATACACTGCAGAAACATTTTCAGCACAGAAATTTCTACATTGAAAAATAAGTTGCTGAATGTTTGAGGAGTCTCTGCAGAGACGCCTGTTTCCAACAACAGGGCACCTTTCAGCATACTCTGAAATCTTGTTTGTAGACAGTTATTTTTCCATCAGTAGAGACAATTTCTCCTCTCAAGTGAATTCTTTGCCATTTAATATATTTTCAGTCTTGCCTGAAACGATTATAACTCCCACGATGGATGGATTAAAATGGAAAACAGCAAATGAACCTGATGACAAAAAAAGAGTGACTAAAGAAACAGATTGCATTTTAAAAGATGTAGAAAAGCGATTTAACAGTAGATTATTGTATGTAGAATTATTTATAATTTCATGTACACTCACCTGTGATCTGTGCGCTGGTGTAGGTGCTTGAACTTCAGGAATATTTTCCGTTCTGTTCTTCCAGCCACAATCAATTCTTCTTCAATCAAATCATGCCAAAATGAAATGTTTTTACGTGGAGCATCTTTTTTTTCTTGGCCTGCCCTATAACTTGATATAGTTTGATAAAGCTTGGGTACTTTTTTTTTTCCCAAATCGATGCAGTTAACCTTCCTCCTGGTCATGATATAAACATTTGTCAACCAGGAAATTTAATGCCTGGCTGAATGGTTGACACAATTAAACAGTTTAATGGGAAGTAACATGCATAATTATTTTCTTCTGAATTGCACATTGTGGCGTTAGTGCAGAAAGTTTGGACTTTGCATTGGTTATCATTCAGAATATGCAAAGGGCCTTGTTGCGACTGATTAGGATTTAAATACAGCAATCAACCTCTCATCAGGTCTCAGGAAGTACCCTGAATGCGAGCATCACTCAGAAAACAGACTAAACAAGTTTTAACAATTTTACCTAGTCTTTCTACACACATCAGCTTTCATACATCTTATGTAAGGGTAAGCAATTGCTTAGTGGTATCATCACTAGACTATTAATCCAGAGACCCAAGTAATGTTCTGTGGACCTGGGGTTCAAATCCTACCACAGCAGATGAATTTGGATCCAACAAAAATCCAGAATAAAGAGTCTGATGATGACTATTAATCCATTGTCAATTGTTGGGGAAAACCCATATGCTTCGCTAATGCCCTTTAGGAAAGAAACTGGCATCCTTACTTGCTCTGGCCTACATGTGACTTCAGAGCCACAGCAATACGGTTGGCTCTTAACTGCTTTCTGGGTAATTAGGGGTGGGCAATTAATGGTGGCCTAGCCAGCAATGCCCTCATTCCATGAATGACTAAAAGAATTCCTCTAAAATTGCCACCAGAATTCATAAAACATCAAAAGATGAGAGTGCAGTACAAATATAAGGTCTCAAGTTACGTTTGAAAAAAAGCAAGCTCAGTTGATTTAAAGTTAGAAAACACTATACAGAGCTCTTTTCCATTTTCTTTAATCCCATCACTTTCCCACCAAGACCGACACAGATCAGAAAAAACACATCAAGCAATGCAATCAGACTCATACCTGTGGGACTGCGCTACTGCCAAATATTCCTTTTAGAATGGCCAGACAACGACCGACAATGACATCATCGCTAATATTTTCCATGATTCCAGCTGCCTCTCCAGCTACTAGAGCCAATAGGATTGGGGCTAGTAATAAACAAAATAACTAATCAAAGAAAATGTAACCACATACTCCAGATTGGTGACAGCAGATTCCCCATTTTGTGCAACTACAGAGCAACTGCAACATTCATGGATTTAAAAGGTGTCCAAATACTTAGAAACCTTAGTGTTACAAATAATATACATTCCTAGGAAGAGGGAATCAAAAGGGGTTTATTAAAGTCAGAATGCGTAAAATGGATCCAAACGTATCAAAAAAAATGTAGGGTATTAATAAAAGTATGTTTCATTCCAAATAGTGTTGATTTTGAATGTAAATAAGCTTGGACAGGGAGTCACACTGGGGGAAAAAGCTCTTGTTGCTGTTGATCTGTAGCTATAGCTGTTTAAAATTTTCAGCACTTTTTCATTAACTGAAGCTTTGAACCACAACACAACAGGCAAAATGTGAATCTCAAAAGCACGAACAAAATACAAACATACTAAAAATAAGAGAAGCAGACCATCAGCCCCTCAAGCCTGTTCCATCATTCAATAAGATAACATTTGGTTGGAAATTCAGAGCACTTAAATAGTGAACCACATATTATTTAAACAGCATTGTACAAAATCATGATTGTAATGATCGTTGAATTGGATCAAAGTACAAACTCAAGGGCTCAGCTGCTTAAGAATTGCTGCAGAGTAAATTAAAGCTCCGATCAAGCAAAATTAGGTACTGTGATAAATATATCAGAGTAATTACTGGGAGGGTTTGGATGAAGAAAAATGCAACCACAGAGTGCAGGCATGTCTTATCTTGAGTGGCAAAATATAATCTTTAGGAGCAATTTTAAGCATGAATCCTATTTCTTGTGAGGCTACATTTTTACATTAATTGCTCCTGTATCACTGCAACCCCCTACTACCATCACATCAAAACTTAAATGAAAAAATTAGGAGTTATGTTATAATTTAGTTATTTTTGATTCAATAAATTTAAAATTGATCATAAACTAGGATCTGGAAATAGAATGAAAATTACCACAAAGCATAAAATGAGGACAATTATTGCAAAGAAAGACAGTAAAAGGATCAAATACAATACAATGATTTGAAATAAGCGTTAACAAAGGAAACTATGGTGAGATTTTCTGACTCATTCCTGAGTTTGGTTTCTGGTGTCTGTTTGACTAAAGAAGGTAAAAGCTTGACTCCATTCATTTTAGCTGTGCAAACAGTAAACTAAAACATTAAGTGCAAAAACTAAGTACATATTATTCACAAAATGATAATTATTTTCTTTTTAATTCTCTGCATCAGGCCTCAAAAAGATGATTCTTTTAACTGGAAGAAAAAAGGCAAAACAAAAGCTTTTAACGAGATTAACCAGACTTTTGGTAGGTTTGCTTTTAAAATTCAAATCATTTGCAGTTCTTAAATGGAAATAAAACAACAAATTAAATTAGCAAATGTTGGAATATGGGGAGGCAGTGGTATGACGGTAATGCAATTAGACAAGTAATCGAGAACTCTTAAGCTAATGTTCTGGGGACATGTGCTTGAATCCCACCATTAAGATCCTGAAATTTGAATTAGATAAACATATGGAATAAACAAAAAGCTGGCCTATTAACACTTACTATCAATTTTTGTAAAAAACCATCTGGATCACTCGTGTCCTTTAAGGAACAAATTCTGCCATCCTTACTCAGTCTGGCACACATGCGACTCCAGTCCCACAGCAAGTGGCTGACTCTTAGGGATGGCAATAGGTGCTAGCTTATCCAGTGACACCCACACTGTATGAGCTGAAAAGAAGAAATCAGGATGGGGAGTGGCTTGGAGGGGAACTTGCAAGTGGTGGTGTTTCCATCTGACTGCGGCCCTTGTCCTTCTAGACAGAAGTGGCTATGGATTTGGAAGGTGCTGTCTAACGATCTTTGGTGAATTTCTGCAGTGTAACTTGTAGATAGTACACACTGCTGCTAACAAGCATCAGTGATGAAAGGAGTGAAACGTTTATGGATGTTGAGCAACTCAGGCGGGCTTCTTTGTCCTGGATGGTGACAAGCTTCTTGAGTATCGTTACAGCTGCACCCATCCAAGCAAGTGTGGGGACTATTCCATCATACTCCCAATTTGTGCTTTGTAGATACCAACAAGCTTTAGGGAGTCAGGAGATGAGTTACTTGCTGCAGTATTTCTAGCTTCTAACCTGCTCTTGTAGCCACTATGTTTATGTGGCAAGTCCAACTGAGTTTCTGGTCAATGGTAACCCCAGGGATGTTGAAAATTGGGGGATTCAATGATGGTGCACCATTGAATTTCAAGGGGCAGTGGTTAGATTGTCTTTTATTGCAGGTCATTGCCTGGCATTTAAGTGGTGTGAATGTTGCTTGCCACTTGTCAACCTAAGTGTGGATAGTGTCCAGATCTTACTGCATTTAAACAGACTGCTTCAGTATCGGAGGAGCTGTGAATGGTGCTGAACATTGTGCAATCATCAGCAAACATCCCCACTTCCGATCTTATGATGGAAGAAAAGGTCATTGATGAAGCAGCTGAGGATGATTGGGCCAAGGACACAATACTGGAGAACTCCTGCAAGATGTCCTGTAGCTAAGATGACTGACTTCCAAACAACCACAACCATCTTCCTATATACCAGGAATGAGTCCAATCAGCAGAGAGTTTGCCCCCTGATACCCATTGATTCCAGTTTTTCTAGGGCTCTTTGATGCCACACTTGATTGATTGTGGTCTTGATGTCAAGGGTTGTCAGTCTCACTTGTCATCTGGAATTCAGCTGTTTTGTCTTGTTTGAACCAAGGCTGTACTGCAGTCAGGAGCTAAGTGGCAAAGTTCTATACAGACTCTCAAGACACGAAATTAGGCTAATACACAAGAAGTGCAGAATGCAACATTTATCATCCAAATTACAAAATTATATTTTTGGCAGTTCCATAAATATGGACATTCAGCTTCAGTTCAAAGCTTGCATAGTTAAATATGATAATGAAATTAGAAAGATTACAATTGTTCTAGTAAAACAAATCCTAATGATTTGATTGAGCCAAATACAAATGTATCTTGCTTCTTAAGGTATCTACCTTCTGCATAATCAGAAGGCAAATCAGTGCTGCTAAAATTATATCATGCTTTATTGCTTTTTCTGTCAAAGGAAGTGATTGCCCTAGTACACAATGAGCCATTTCTGGTATGCAAGTACCTTTATAAAGGTTCCAAAAAAGAAACAACTCTCCCCTACTAGCAGTAGTGCTTCCAACATGACCAAAGAGATTTACACTGGGGTCCCAGAATACACGATCAAAACATAATACAACCTGTAGACAACACAAACAGAGAATTAACAGATGGTAAATTATTTATTCTCAACATATTTCAATCAATTACGGTACATCAACAACTACCCAGCTACTAATACCTACTCAGTAGGAGGAGTCAGTGCAACTGTTTAAGGAAATCCATTAGTGAATCAAATTAAATCATTTAAAAAAGGGGAGGAGACAAAAACCAGGTCATAATAGGACAGAAATAGGCCAGATAATGCAGTATCTTTTATGGGAAAAATGTTAGAATCAATAAAAAGGATGTAATAACAGAGCATTTAGAAACACATAGTCTGATCAAACAGAACCAGGAAGGGTAAGTCATGTATGACATATTTAATAGAATTTTTTGAGGAGGTAACACAAAGTACAGATAAAGGAAAAGCAGTGGATGTGACATATTTCGATTTTCAGGCAGCATTTGATAAGGTACCAGACATACAGTTACTTACTAATATAAGCATCCATTGTGTTGGAGGCAGCATATTAGCATTGATTGGCTAACTAATAGAGAGTTGGGAAAAGGTATCATTTTCACGGCAGCACCTGTAACTAGTGGTATGTCACAGGGATCAGTGATGGGGCCACAATTAATTACTTACAATATATATGTTAATGACTCGAATGAGGAAAATGAATGCACTATAGCCAAGATTACAGGTGACACAAAAAGATGGGAAGGCAAGTGATGAGGATGACACAAAGGCTGCAGAGGGATATAGACAGTTTAAGCAAGTGGCAAAAACTTGGCAAATGGAAAACAATGTGAGATTAAGTACTTTGGCAGAAAGAATAGAGGAGATTAATATTATTTAAATGTAGATAGATTGCAGAAAGCTTCAGAACAGAGGGGTTTAATCGATCAATCACAAAAATCAGCATCAACGTTTAACAGGTAATAGGCAAGGCAAATGGAATGCAGGCCTTTATTTCAAAGGTGTATAAAAATAGGGAGGTTTTGCTAAAACTATACAAGACGTTGGTCAGACTACAGCCACAAGCAGTTTTGGGCCACTGATCTAAGGAAAGATATTCTGGCATTGGAGGCACTCCAGAGAAGGTTCACTTGGTTGATACCAGGCATGGAGGGGCTGCCTCCTGAAGGTCGAGCCTGCACTCACTGGAATTTAGAACAATGAAAAGCAACTTTATTAAACATAAAAGTTGCTTAGGGGAGTTGACACTGTAGATGTGAAAAGGTTGGTTCCCATCGTGGGAAAGTCTAGGAGCACAAGGTATAATCTCTGATTAAAGAGGTTGTACATTTCAGACAGAGCTAAGGAACTTCTCCTCTCAGAGGGTAGTGAAGGTCTTTACAAGGATCATGACTGGTCTCACAATTTCAGAGCACTGATGTTTTACCTTGTTCAGATTTCCAAAGCCCATACGCTGAATGGCAGAAGTTTTCCATTCTGGAAGAGGAGGTACAAACTGAACCGCTGGAGGTTGTTGCTTCAACACACCCAGTGGAAGAGTGCATAAAACTGCATCACACTTGTAAATGAATGTCTGGCTGTTTGAACGAGTATTCTGAGCAATGACTTCACATCCTGAAAAATATTTATGCAATCTTAGATTAAATAGCTGTAAAGAACACAGAACCAGAAAGATTAATAGACAATAACTGCTCAAGTTACTGTTGATCGTAGTCATAAGTGGAATAAATCTTCTAAAAAACAATATTATAATTTTCTTTCAGCAGTCAACTGCAAAACATCCCACTGCATGATCTAGACACAGAAGGTGCAATGTTTCCTGTTCTTGTCACATACGTTTATTTTACTTCAGTCTACAGCAGAGCTTCCAACAGTTTTCAATGAATAATTTATTTTGCATCCCTAGTCCAAGAGTCAAGTTACAGGAAAGTAAATTACAGACTTACACATAGAATAAAATAGGATGTTTAACTATTTTTAAATGTCTTTTGCAAACAAGAAAGAAATGACAAGAAACGAAGGTAGCAATGTTTCAGGATTAAAGCTTTCAATTAAAAGACTAGGATCTCAGTTTCAGTCTTAATGACTTGTCTTCTTAAACTGAGGTAGCAGACATCAAGTCTACCATCTAGACATTCTTTCATGCAATGCTACTTCAAAGAGGTAGATCAAGTTACTTTTCTAGGTGGGCTACATCACCTATGTTAGCCATAATGAACAGTCAGGTATAACTAACAGTTTTACAAATATAAATGCGTCAGAAAGGCCTGGCAGAGAGATCATGCAACCTTTCGGAACATGTTATTTTTCTCCACATCAGAACCTTCATTTTAATTTGCATAATTTTGGAAGAAATCCTTTTTAACTCTCCTTTCTTCAAGTATACATTTAAAATTACAGGAGGAGAGGAGTGTAACTGAATTCTGTGACACATATTCTTCATAATTCCTTGCTAACGGTTTGCTGCTGAAAAGGTGGAGGAAATACCTGAATTAAGCTTTCTAATGAAAGCGTTTTACTAAGTTGATACAAGATAATTAAAAGCACTGCAGACAACTACTAAGGATTCCAAACCTTCACTGTTGAATAGTTACATAACATGCTCTTTCCAGGCTTGTCCCTGTTAACTTAATAAACATGATTCTTAATTCGAAATCTGAAGTGTAAAGCCTGTTACCGTATATCTACTCTTCAGTCTCACAGGTTTGGAATTATAAATGGTTAAGTAGTATTTAGTGTGTATTCATCATCAATTGAGCAACGCATTAAACAAAGCACTACCTTTATAAACTACATTGAAATTTTTTGATCTTCCAAACGATCAGGAACAAATAAAAAGGAACACTTTTTTTTAAACCCATCAGCATAAAGAGCTTGAGAATCTAGAGGCATCATTTGGAAGTATTAAGTGACAAAATAAGTTTTCCATGAGGATTACACAGAATTATAAATTAAAAGCAAACAACTTGATCCAAAAGGTCTATATGTTAGTATGTGCCCTTTACAGTTTACTTCATCTCATTCCTGCAATCCAGGATCTAAATATTTTGCACCTTATATTGTGTACCATTTATTCGCAGAAACCAAATATGAGATGCACTTCTGAAATTCACCAAAGATCCCTAGACAGTACCGCCCAATTCCACAACCATCTCCATCTAGAAAGACAGGGGAAATCGGTAAATGTGGGTTATGATAAACTGCACTGGTTCAACAGGCAGCTCCTCACCACCTTCTTAAGGGCAACTAGGGGTAGGCAATAAATGGTGGCCCAACCAGCAATGTCCACATCCCATGAATGAATAAAACAAACATTAAGTAGTCTGCCTCATTGAATTTCCAACTTTTAAAGAATCACAAAAAAAAGTCACAGAACATTAGTGACTTTTAACATTAGAATTTCTATCACAAATTAATTCACACAAAATGTGTATCAACTGACCTGAGGCAGTATAACGGACTTGTCGAACAGCTGTATTTAATTTAATGTCAAGACCTTCTGCAAGTGCAACTGGGACACAAGAATAACCATTTCGTACTGTTAAGTGACTTCCTGTGAATTCAAAGTCATCGTCCTGAATAGAAAACAAACAGGAAATAACACTACTGTTTGTGATTATAACATGAATAATATCATTTAATTTACTTTGGTTCAAGTCACATCAAATTAAACTTGCAAGCCTGTGTTTGCTCCTATTCAATCAATAAAAATCTGAATAAACACATCCTAAACAGAAAGCAACAACTTGCACTTAAACAATGCCTTAAATATAGAAAATGTCCGAAGACTCTCTGGAAAATACATATCAGATAGAAGCTGATAGTGATCCAAATTATAGACAAGGGACAGATAAAGAGTGAACTAGCTGAGACAATGTGGGAAGAGAAATCAGCATTCAGGGTAGATTAGTGGTTGCAAAGAGGGGCATAAAAATTTGAGACTTTTTTTTGAAAGAGATTACATTGATTTGATAGGGGCATTCAAAATGCTGAAGGGTTCATATAGATGTTATTCTTAGTGGATAAGGGGTTTGAGAAAAAGGGAACCATGATGCCACATTAATCGCAAGCGATTTAAATCAAAGTGAAAGGGAACCTTAAAAAAAGAAATTGCTTGGTAATGCATAACTTAAACATTGCTAAAAGGAGACAAGACAAAGCTGTTCGTCTTGCACTCACAGGAGCTAAAGAAGGCTATTCGACCCATCGAGGTTGCTTCAACATTCAATAAGATTATGAGTGATGGGATAATCCTCTACTCCACTTTCTTGCATTATTCCCATAAATCTTGATTCTCTTACTGATTGTAAGTCAGTCTATCCCAGCCTTTACAACTCTTTACATTATAGAATTCCACAAATCCATTACCCCTCTCAGAGAAGAAATTCTTCCTCATCACTATCTTAAATATGCACTCCTTACTCTGAGATTATGCCCTCTGGGAAACCTTTCTGCACCTATCCTGCCAAGCCCCCTAAGAATCTTAGATAGTAGGAACTGCAGATGCTGGAGAATCCGAGACAACAAGGTGCAGAGCTGGATGAACACAGCAGGCCAAGCAGCATCATAGGAGCAGAAAGGCTGACGTTTCGGGCCTAGACCCTTGTCTGCTCCTATGATGCTGCTTGGCCTGCTGGGTTCATCCAGCTCTGCACCTTGTTGTCCCCCAAGAATCTTATTTGTTTCAGTAAGGTCTCCTCTCATTCTTCTAAACTCCAACGAGCGTAGGTCCAACCAACTCAACCTCGACACATTGTTCAATAGGTTGATCCCATTCTCTGGATTGCCTCCAATACCAATTTTTTTCCTCCTTAGATAAGGAGATTAACACTGTTTATGGTATTCTAGGTTTGGCTTGACTAGTACTTTGTATAGGTTTAGCAAGACTTCCCTATTTTTATAACCCATTCTCCATGAAACAAAGGTCAACTTTCCATTTGCTACCCCTATTATATGCTGAACATATACCTAGTCTTTTGTGATTTATAAACAAAGACCCCCAAATCCTCTGGTGTTGCAGCTTTCTGCAGTCCTTCTAGTTAATTAATATTCAGCTCCTCTGCTCTTCCCGCCGAAGTGCATAACTTCAGACTTTCCCAAATTGTATTTCATCTGCCTAGTTTTTGCCCACTCACATAACCTGTGTCTATCCTTCCACAGACTGTAATCCTCACTACTTGCGTTCCCACCTATTTTTTTGGTTATTCACAAACTTGGCAATAATACATTCCCTTCTCTCATCCAAATACTGTAAATAACTGTGGTCCCACGAGTGATCCCTGTGGCATTCCACTGGTTACAGGTATCCATCCTGAAAATGCCTATTCCAACTCTGTCTTCTATTAGTTTACCAATTCTCTAACCACACAAATATACCATTTCAAACACCATGGGTTCTTGTCTTTTTAAGTAGCCTTATGCGTGGTACCTTATCAAATACTTTTTGGAAATCCAATGGTATTACATCTGTTGGCTCTCCCTTATCCACTGTTTTGTTGCCTCCTCAAAGAATTCTAATAAGTTTGTCAAGCATGATTTTCCCCTTCAAAGCTACTCTGACTCTACGTGATCATATTAAGTCCTTCTAAATGTTCTATCACTTCCTTTATAATAGATCTAACATTTTCCCAATAACAAACGTTAAGCTAATGCCTACAGTTACCAGTTTATTGCCTTCTTCCCTTTTTGAATAAGAGCATTACTTTGGCACTTTGTAATTCTCTGGGGCTTTTTTCCTTTAATATGCTAGGATGCAACCCATCAGGTCCAGGGGACTTGTTGGTCATTAGATCAATTAGTTTCCAGTACTTTCTTCCTCTAGAGATAGTAATTGTATTATTTTCTCCGTCCCTTCAGTTAGTAATGGAATGCAATAAGGTCCTCTACTGTGAAGACTGATATAAAGTACTTAGTCATCCACCTGTCATTTTCTGGTTCCCCATTACAGTTTTACCTGCCTCTCTCTCCAAAGGGTCTAAGTTCACCATGGCCAATCTTTATCTTTTTATACAATTGAAGAAGCTGTTACTGTCCACTTTTATGTTACCTGCTAGTTTATCTGCAAAGTTTATTTTTGTCTCTACTATACACTTGGTCATCTTTAGTTGGCTTTATAGATGGATGGAGAAAGAACGTAAAGTAGAACAGGTGATTGGGACTACTGCTCACATTGAGAATAAATATCAACATAGACTGACTTGATGATGTTCTGCCCTGAAATTATAAACTTGCAGCAATAGCACAAAGACTGAGCAACCACCTATTTTCCAGAGGATCTCCATCTATTGCAATGGAGCGGGTGATTTCAGAACAATCTGGAAACTATCTGATTCTGGGAAAACGCAAAGGGCTCAATATGCAGTTACTGTAATGGATGTAGATTACAGATCACACACATACACATCACACAATGGAACTAATACATATTCACAAATTGAGGGAAATCAGGGATTGGCAATAAATGCTGGCAAAGCTAATCATGCGTATATTTTGTAAACCAATAAATTTTTAAAAAGATCCATACATCAACTACACCAGTCTGTGCTGCATTAGTCATGGTTAAGGCCTAATGGACACTGCATTTTAAATATTCATTCACCTGGTCCCAATGCTTCAATGAAAGTGTGGAGAGAGGTGTTGCATTAGCGAATTCCAAGTTGGCAAAATGCCAGTCCAGGATCTGCCGGTCCCTTGATGACAGGTAAACATCACTAAAACATGTAAAAACATACTTCAAAAACAATTCAACATCTTCTCTTCTCATTTACCAAAAGTATTACAAGTTACAGTTTACTAGGCCAGTGGTTCTCAAAGTCTGGTCCATGAGGGCCCTCCAAGTGGTCCCTTGGATGGTCTAAAATACAACTCACTGAAGCACAATGCCACAGCTGAAAGTATCAAGAGAACATGCCAGAAACCTCATCCCCACGACCCACTTACACAACCAGACAGCTCCTGTGAGCGCAACACAAGTTGACACAATGAGTGATAATGCAACTTCATAAGCAATATTTATGCTATTAATATGGAAGCAAGCATTCATTACTCAGAAAAAATTGTGACGATTTTGTAATAATGTCTGAAATGAAAACGTTCTCTTGTAGTATTATTGTTCATAATATGAAAGTGTCTATACTTTTGTTTCTACTATGAATTAATAATTAACTTATGATAGTCAACAAATGTATGCTCATAAACATTTTACTTGAACATCGTGGGGTAGGACTATTAGGTGGTTTGTGGGGTGTTTTTGATACCGCCCCCATACCCCTCCCCAAAATGGTCAGATGAAAACGTTTGAGAACCACGGCATCGGACCACTTGTACTTTTCAATGTTTAGAAAAACTTGTGATTTGAGATCCATGCTCTAATAAGGTAAATCAAGCAATGCTTATAGCTCTGCACAGAATCCAAAATCCCAACTGCAGCACAGTGATAAAAACCTGGCAATTTCATTGGGTCACACTGTGAAACGCTCTGACCAGTAGTCAACATTATGCTGGTAAGCTACCAGCAGTTTAATTTCAAAACATGTAAAACGTGTGCATGAATGGAAATACCTGGGCGGGTTAGCTTCCAATTCCTGGAGCTTCTCCTCAAGTTTCACTTGGGCTTCTGCAAGCTCATCATATTCCTATTACAAATTGAATAAGATTGTCAAATTATCCCATAAAACAAATGCTGCTGTTGTGTTAGAGCAAAATGTCTGCCTCTCTTTGTGTCTAGCCCCATACTGCAACAAATAATAAGTTTTATTGCTCATCTTTATCCCTTGATTTTCATGCTTTGTGATAAATCGTAGAATGTCATTATCTTTCTCTACTGGTATATAAACCTGAGGTGCTCACTTTAACATCCTGTAAACCTTTTGTTTTCTATTGCTTTTGCCAACCTATTGCTCCAAGCCTACTTCTTTCAGAGCATAGCTACTGTGAAGCAAATGCATTAAAAGTGTTCAAGGAGGTAAAATAGTAATTATTAGCAACTACAACCGCATTACAAATATAAGATACAGCACTAATGGCTGACCATGCTTCCGTAAGTGCAAGCAAGCACAAGATATGCAAATTGTCAGAAAGAAATACTTTTTAAACACACAGTATACAGTACTACACCTGTGCCATCATAAGCCTTTGGTTCTAATAGCATGTAGTGATGTAAGTAATTTTTAAAATGACATGTCATTCACATCAGACCATTACATCTCTTCTCCACATCTACACCAAAATTCAGACTGTGCTGCTTTCAAAAGAAGGATGAAGATAAGTCGACAAATCCCCCCTCACCCAGCAAAAAGAAAAATTACAAAAAAGAGGTAGGAATTTCCATTTAAATCCCTACACAATAAAGGCAAACATAAAGCAAAACTCACCTTGCATAACGCAGTTAGATCTCTCAATTTACTTTTCACCAGAAATTCCGCTGTGATGTCACGTGGGGGCTTTACCTCAGAGGCTTCTTTGTACTGCTGATGTAGCTCTTTTATCTTTTCCTTCAACGAAACCATCTGAAACAGTTTTTTAAAAATTGTAAAAACAAGACAAAAGACACTGGTGAGCAAATAGAATGACCTTATGTAAAACTCTTGAATACCATTTGTCCTACACAACATTTAGTCTGCGATTAAAAACAAAAAATGCACTGGAAATTTTCAGCAGATCAGACGGTATTTGTGGGCAATAACAGCGTTAAGGTATCAGATCAATGACCATGGAAATCAAAAAGTCTTTCTGTACTCTTTATCATCCACAGTCAACTGCGAATTATAAACAGAAAGTGCTGGCGAAACTCAACAGGTCTGGCAGCATCACTGGAGAGAGAAACAGTGTTAATGTTTTGAGTCCCATTTATCAAAAGAGTCATATGGGACTCAAAATTGGGCTCGAGTCATTAACTCTGCTTCTCTCTCGCGCTCTCTCTCTCTCTATAGAGATGCTACAGACCTGCTGAGTTTCTTCCAACATTTTCTGTTTATCTCAGGTTTCCAGCATCCCCAGTACTGTGCTCTTACTTCAGTAAAGAATTATGCATTTTGTGACGCTGCTAAACTAAAATATACTTAATAAATTGCTTTTTGCATAGCAATTGTGATAATGATTTTAAAGCAGAGTAACTTTACTCAGGATATCACAAGTTTGGGAATTATAAATTTTGGAAGTCTGAAGTAGAAAATATAAAAGCATCTAAACAAAAAAAAATGTTAAAATGCCTGATGTAGACCCTTATACAGGACAACCTATTCTGAAAAAGGGATTGCATTTCACGAGCTAACATGTTCTTTTCACAGATGCTAACGGTAGCTACCACGGATTTCCACTTTTTTTATTTTGTTGTAATTCCAGTGAAATCAAATCCCATTGTGAAATGTATTTTGATGGATCATAAGATTCATTTTTGCAATTTGGTTACCATGGTGGTTAGTCACTGAACATATTCACATAATTGAAGAACACAAATCTAATACACAAAGGAAACAAAAATTAAAAGCACAATTTAGAAAGAGCTTAACAAACATCAAAAGCAAAGATTCAACCTTTTTCACAGCAGTCTCCTTTATAGATACTTAATCCCAGTGAAGCATCACTCCTAACTCATCTTGAAGATTTCTTACTCAACTCACCCTTTACATTTCTAATAGCTGAGAGGCTCCTTACGAGTTCCGAAGGTCTGGATTCCTTTAAGTTCTGACAACTTGGAGACTTCTACAAATTTGCGCAACTTGGAGATTGTACACCCAAAATACTGCCTTTCTGCTAGGGAGAAACTGTTTTTCTGAATAGAAACCTGATTCTGAACTCAAACTACTAGTGGACCTTAGCAGTTCTGTATGCTATAAAATTCACTGTAAACATTTCATCAATTAACTCCACAAGTAGTTTACTAGGCATGTAACTTAATCATATATTTTCTTGGAGGTAATTTATTTCACTGTTCCAAATGACTTTCTGCCCTCTTAATGAAATATTTACCTCCATAGAAATGAAACAAAAATTATTTATTTTTGCTTTAGAAGCCAAATTCCCCAATGATAGTATATCATTAATCCTTATCGTAATCTGTACATCATATCCTTAAAAAAGGTTTTACAAAGGACAGTAACAGAAAGCCAACCAATTTTAGTGACATATTGTTCTTCAGTTTTCATGAAGAGTCATCAGATTCTAAACGTTAAAGCTGCTTTCCCCGCACGCCCCCGCCAAGGATGCTGCCTGACCTGCCGAGATTTGCCAGCAATTTCTGCTTTTTTTTTTAAGATCTCCCGGATTCAAAGCTCATTGTTTCATTACATTGTTCTTCCAGTGTTGACACAGTGAAGCAACTGTAATGACTGCTAGTACATGCTGGGCAAAGTGTTGCTAGCAACTGAAGTTGAAAAATAATCAAAGAAAAATCTCTCGCATTACATGACATGCAACAGATTTTCTGAACTACATTACTTCAATACTTATTCCAGATTACCAATAACAGATTACCATTCACAAACAAACCTTGCCCAGTCTCTAAAATGTATGGCCGCTTAAACTGAAAGGACCACGCATTTACACACTGCAGTGAATTAGAAGTAGAAAAATCAGATCTGCAATACTCCTCAGCAGCAGCAGCACCATCACAGGATAGAAGATGGTAGTGCATCCCAACATAAAATGTAATAATCACAAAATTGAGGGATATGCAAAAACCAGGATTGATTTCTATATAAATGCGTTGGGTTTTTTTTTAAGAATTTTAACCTTCCTCCTTTGCACAGAGTACTTCAGGAGTGAAGATGCACAACTGGAGAAATACTACAATTCTGGATGGTCCATTCAAAATAATAAACATATTTTCTTAATGAAGATTCAACAGATCGCATGTTGGGGACTTTGAATCAGGTTCAAGCAATACAGTGGTTATCTACCAGGGTTCAGGTTTTAGGACTTTCAACCAAATCTAAAACGTTGAAGGTTCAAGTCTCATTAGAGAGACCTGACCATCTAAATCTAGGCCAACGTATCAGTTTTGATGAAGTCCTACATTGTTGGAGGTTCAGGTTTTTGGATGAGACTTTAAATTGACGCCCTAAGAGTTTTCTCAAATGGACATAAATGACTCCATAATATTTCAAAGAAACACAGGGAGATGTTCTCTGCCATCCTGGCCAATGTCAATCCCTCAACAAACATCTCAAAATACAGGTCTAACACAGTGTGGAGCCGGAAGAATACAGCAGGCCAGGCAACACGTGTTGTGCTATGTTCCTCCAGCTCCACACTAGGTTATCTCTGACTCCAGCATCTGCAGTTCTTGCTATCTCAAAATACAGGTCACCTTGTTCTTAAGTCACCGCCGCTTATAAGGCTTTGTTGAATACAAATTGGCAGCTGCATTTCCTACAGTACAACTGTGACTATATTTGCAAACTACTTCATTAATTGTGAAGTGCTCCGAGACAGTGAAAATTGCTGTAAACCGGAAATTTTTAAAGACACAAAACTGTTGCTATCTCTAAAACAGTTTCTCAACATATTCTATATGAACCAAAGAGAATGGATTTTTCCTGTTTAAGTTCATGAGGCAAATAATTAAAATTAAATTGCTGGACACAAACTTCATTCATCTTCCACATAAACGTAAACATGCCCATTGTAAGTGAAAAAAATTCCTTAAGGTAACTATGTTCTCAGTCAACTACTTGCACAAGCAGATTAAAAAAGGTACCTTTGCAGGAGAAAAACTAACTACAAACAAATCCTTTCAACAGAAGCTGAACAGATTCTGGTTACAGGCAGAGCATTTTCATCTGAAGGACTCGTAATTAGTTAAACAATCTTCTTGCATTAATCCACCATGTAAGGCTGTTCAAAACTGATTGATTGAAAAATCAATTCCCCTTCTGTGAAAGATGTAAAGTATTTGGGTGTATGGCGAGGATGCATTTGAGGTGATGTATCATTCTAATCTACAGAAGGATTTATGCAACTTTGAATTTTAGACAAATCAAAACACAGGACAGGGATACAGTAACTCATGCTTTAACAAGTTCTGGAAACTTTCTTAAATGTCAAGTAAAGACAATTTCTTTTCCTCATTTCCTAGTTTCTCAGTACAACATAAAGCAAGTTCAAATTACCTTATTAAGCAATTCTTTCAGATCCTCTTGCGTTTTCACTATTTTCTTCCAGTGTTCAATCTGTTCATCCTTCACATGCTTTTCTTGCAATCTATCAAGGATTCAAATTATTGTTTTAGTACAATCTATGTTTTTGGGCTTATTGCCTTTAGAATCTTATTATAACAATTAATATAGTACAAATATAATAACACATTTCAAATTTATTTCAATAGCTATAAAGCACTTTGGCATATCCAAGAGTTCAAAAGATGCTGTAAATGTTTTCTTGACTATTTATCATGCTGACTTTCCTATAATCGCCTGCAACATAATTATTGAAGAGAACCAACACTTGGACAGAAAAGCAGGTTCTAAAGATTAGACATTTTTTTAAACATCTTTTTCTTGAATCAAAAGTATGCCAACAAAATAAATTACACATTATAAATGAGAAACTGCTTGCTGAAGAAACTAATAATTGGTCAATTCCACTTTCAAGTAATGACAAGAGACAATTCACGGATATTTATTACTTGGACTGACTGGAGGACTTTCTACGTGTAAGCATGTGAAGTCTATCTAGCATGAGACTAAACACTCACTGGATGACAACTTCCAGTGCCTGTCCTAATGATACAGGTTTATTATTCAAATAGTTGAAGTCCAGCTGATGACTAAGATAAGATGTGGCCTCAAGCAAACGATTGAATTCCTGCTCTACCATCTCATCTTTTTCCTTGGGAACCTGAAAAACAGGGAAAAAAATATTCTTACTAAATCAAACATCAGACATAGGTTGATAAATTTATGTGAGAATAAACAAAAACCGTTATCAATATCGCCATTGATCAGTGCATTGAGTAAAGGAGTTGGGATGTAATGTTGCGGCTGTACAGAACATTGGTTAGGCCACTTCTGAAATATTGTGTTCAATTCTAGTCTCCCTGCTATAGGAAAGATGTTGTGAAACTTGAAAGGGTTCAGAAAAGATTTAAGGATTTTGCTAGGGTTGGAGGGTTTGAATTATAGGGAGAGGCTGAATAGGCTGGGGCTATTTTCCCTGGAGCATCAAAGGCTGAGGGGGGTGACCTTATAGAAGTTTATAAAATCATGAGGGGCATGGATAGGGTGAATAGCCAAGGTGTTTTTCCCAAGGTAGGGGAGTCCAAAACTATAGGGCATAGGTTTACAGTGAGAGGGGAAAGATTTAAAAGGACTTAAGGGGAAATTTTTTCATGCAGAGGATGGTGCGCGTATACAATGAGCTGCCAGAGGAAGTGGTGGAGGTTGGTACAATTATAACATTTAAAAGGGTATATCAATAGGAAAGGTTTAAGAATGATATGGGCCAAATACTGGCAAATGGGACTAGATTAATTTAGAATATGTGGTCAGCATGGATAGGTTGGACCAAAGGGTCGGTTTCTGAGCTGTACATCTCTGTGGCTCTATTTGGAAGGGTTTACCAGTATTTTGTGCTTTACGTGGTTGTACACAACAAAGGAAGAATTACAAATGTTATATCTATTAGGAAAGATTCAAGTTTTCAAAGCCAAAACTTTACTAAGCAACAAACTGTCTCTATTTGAACACCGTCATGGTTGAAATTAAAATCCTCACAGGGCTAAGTGGGCAGTGATCAAAACATGTTGTAGGTAAAATATAGTCCCTACCAACAAACCTCTCCTTTTTTGGGACGCAAAGTCCCTTCAATTTTTTGTTTAGTACAGCCACGAATGTGTAGCAACTTCAAAAGGACCATCCTGTGTGCAGCTTGCACAGGGACTTTTGTGTTGCTGCACAGCTAGAGCTTAGGAGGAACACTGGCCCCCACCACTTATACTGGCTGCATTGGTGTCAACACAATTTGCTCCTGTCTACATTGGATGCTCTATATGACATTTCAGTGAAATTCATAACAGCAGTGGGTTTCAACGTGAATTTGCTACAAGTGGAAAGCGAACTGTTAACCATGTTAGAATGTCAAATCCTCAAGCTAGTGTGAACATTTGGTTACAGATATAGTAACGTATTAACTGATTGTCATTTTATTCTTTACTGGGGCACCGAAATGAATCTTCATGTGTTACTTAGGTTTTACACTTATAGCAAATGATTAGCACAAATCATAACGCACAAAGTATCAAGAGTTGTTGCCTCCACAAAACTAGTCTAACTACTGCTCATCAGTTTTGCCGCATGGTGTATGTAAGACATTAAAACTTTAAATAAAAACAACACCAGTTTAGACAAAGACAAAAACGCAAGGAAAGACAAACCAATAGGGAGGCACACGTTCCTTTAACCATTCAAGTTAACGGATTAAGAAAGTCACCACCATTAATTTATCTGTATAATTTATCAAATGTACCTTTGAAATAAAAAAACTCCAGCATTTTTAAATGAGATAAAACAGCCATGAATAAAAAAAATTATATTCACCAATTTAATGCAGCTGCTACATTTCAATGAGGTGAATTCAAATTTGTATAAGGAGCACACCCACCTATCTTATGGTTGCACTCATACTATTATAAAGCCCTTTATTGTATGGTATCTGCTTTTATAACCTTGTCAGGCTCCAATTACATACTCCCACCAGTTGTGATAGCATAATACCTCAGCCACGCCTTCTCTAGCTTCTTAACAGCACTGTGAAGAAACACTTATGCTCCAAACCATTCTACTCTTGACGGTGAGAAAACTAAAATGTTTGCTATTTACTTAAATATAAAAATGAAGCAAATGAAAATAACAACACATGTACGACTTTAAGAGAGGACTGAATTACATGCATAGACCTAATCACATTATGGTCCAGTTCATTTCCAGATTACAAGTGGCTTTCACAGGATTGTTCTGGCATAGTTGTAGTAACCCTATGTCTGAGCCAGAAGGCCCACTGGAAATCCCACCTGTTGAGGTGTGTATTAAGATGTCTGAACAGGTTGATTAAAAAAAAAGTGCCTATATTTGGCTTTCACCCTCATGTGCTATGCCATGGGAGATTGGATAACCATATTGTTAATTCCAGTCAATCGGATGAGGTTTGCGCAATCTACGGATTGTTGTACTGCAAACCGTACCTCCACTTCCAATAATCCAAAATGATAACATATTTCAAATAATTAAACAGATCTTTCACCCCTCCCTCCACCCACCACAATGACTTCCTGCTCATTGTGAGATTTCATAATATATGCCCATTAGCAAAAGTAAAAATACATACGTTTGTGCATCTTTCTCCCTGCAATAGCATCAGATTCCAAACATCGGTAAATGGCATAGAAAGAAAACGGGAGAAAAAGTTATTAGTGCCTTGACCCAGTGACCACAATTTTGAAATGCTCAAACTTTAAAAGGAGTAAACTTTTATTTATACAATGTCTTATCATAGCTGCCAGGTCAGCTCAAATGTTTCAGAATTGTAACCACTGCCACTATTTTGGTAATGCAGTAGCCTTTTTGCTTAAAAACAGTAAAAGGAAATGAATGAGCAGTTTGTCCATTTTTGGTAGCCTTGACTGAGGGGAGAATGTTCAGCAGCATAATGGGAGAACTTTCTGCTCTTCCTCAAGTCATACCAAGGGATTATTAATGCTAACACAAGATGGCATCTTCAAAGTAATGTTCTCTCATAACTGCTCTGAAATATCAGTCTACAAGAGTATCTTGCATTCCAAGGAGCTGGGCTTAAGTCTACAACCTTCTGATTCAGAGGCAAAGTGGTACTAAATGAGCCAAGTTCAGAGTTCACTTACAATGCAGAATTTGCATTCTTTCAAGAAGAATACACTGTGCTCTGCATGCCAAGAGAAAACTTTCAGCACAAGACTAACATTTTCTACTTCACAGCCAGTGATATCAACTTTCCTCAAATCAAGAAATCTAGAACTCTCCATGACCACTTCAACTGAACTATCAACAGAGCATTACTGTACAATTAACAGGACAGTTTTGCTCACCAAAAACTCAATCCCTGTTTCCGTTGTGAGCAAATCATCTGGCAACAAGTCAATTAGAAGGAGTGTGTCAGAGAGACCAGACATAATATTCAAGTCAATGCTACTGAAATTCCACATGATCGACTCACTGTCCTGAACGTCTTTGTTCATTGCTATGTCTTGGGGGCCCTGAATTGCTCCCTGAAATTCAAACTGAATGTAGAAATTCCTGAAGTATCTGATCAAGAATCCCAATGATAACTAACAAACAAGTACATAATTATTCAACCTTTTTTTAAAATTTAATAGTCCAAAAGCTTTTAATTTAATGCATGCAAATGTCTCCACGTTTTCTTTTCTACCTTGACAACCTCAATAACGGCTTCTGGTTGTCACATCAGCTAACTGGAAACCACCCAACGATAGATATAGAAAGCAGTGCAATGTTTCCCAACTATAATGCATCTTACCCATTGATTCTGCCAAGTCGAGGCAAATGTATTCTCCCAGAAACAACCAATTTTTGAAGTTAACTCACTTGGTACAACCATGAAGCAATAGTTCAACAACAGAACTAGCCAGTTGTCAGCAGCAAATCCACTGCATTACTATTAACCTGACCTCCAACACCAACTTTAATTTTACTCATATTCCCTCCTAAAAGTATAACAAACAAATAAAATGGAGGAAGGAAAGATTAAATAAGCAACAGTAAACTTATATTCACTTAAAATGGTATTTTCTGTTGTAGGTTTACCCTAATCTTTTCTCCACAAGAACCTAAACACTTAAATTTACCAGTCACCTTCTGCTACTTAACTCCTGTTGTAGAGTTGACAATTTTTAAACATTGGTCTTTGGTAAAAAAATGTTTTACCAACTAGTGAAAATGTAAAAATTGACATTCACAAACTTAATCAGGTCAGCCTCGTATTAAAAACATTAAAACAAAAAAAGAGTGAAGGCAAATAAATTAATTCATAGATTAAAAATCTGCTCATGCATAAGTGACTAAGTCATTTGCACTTTGCTAAGGGTAAAATGAAAGAAGTTACAAGGCTTCATACTGCAAATGGTAGGTTTTACTTTATGTTTGAGAACACAAATATCCGAACAGAACATCAAGAAACTGCTGCACAAGTGAAGATTAAATAAAGTTCATGAATACACACACACACACACACACACACACACACACACCTTTACTTTTTTAGATGTTTCAGGACGATCATCCATATCATCGTCTACCTCACAGTAGGCAAACCACATGCACACCACTATGCCTGTTGGAAGTGGTAGAGACTGAATACTCATTACATTAATAGGCTTTCAGCGATGGGTGTGTGGAGACAAAGCGAGCCAGGGTGCCGTTGAGAAGGTAAGGTTTTTCCCTATAAAAACTTACCTCGTGCAGCACCGGCCTTCTTGCTTTCAGCGGCGGGAGTGGTAAGGACACGAGCCGGGGAGGAACTAATATATTCGGGCTTTTGGCGTGATAGAGAGGAGTTATAAGGAGGTGGTCACACCCAAGGTACAGGAAAAAGGTAGCTGGGTGACTATCATAAAGAGGAACGGGAATAGGCAGACAGTACAGGGATCCCCTGTGGCCGTTCCCCTCAATAATAAGCATACCGTTTTGGATACTGTCGGGTGGGGTGGTGGTGGGGGAGCGACCTACCAGGGAAGGCCATAGCGGTCAGGTCTCTGGCACTGAGCCTGGCCCTGTGACACAGAAGGGAAGTGGGGGGAGGGGGGAAGAATAGGAGAGCGACTGTAGTTGGGGATTCACTAGTAAGAGGCGCAGACAGGCAGTTCTGTGAACGCAAACGAGACGAGCGGATGGTATGTTGCTTCCTGGATGCCAGGGTCCATGACATCTCAGACCGTGTCTTCAAGATCCCTAAGGGGGAGGGTGACCAACCAGCAGTCATGGTATCATGGTACACATCAGTACCAATGACATTGGTAGAAAAAGGACTGGAATGTGAAAAATGAGTACAGGGAGTTAGGTTGGAAGCTGAAGTCCAGGACAAACAGGGT